CCTCTCAGAATCCTGGAAAAAAAGCCCACTTGTTGCTGCTCCAAAAGGAAAGGGGTAAAATGTATGGGACTGTTGTTACTACAAGATGATTGCTGTAACTGCTAATTGCTTTTCCTTCTCCTTTAGGAAGTGTGCAGAGACTTTTTTCAAAGGCAAAATTAACTTTTGTTAATCTCAGCTGCTGAGATTTCCTAGACAACCTCCCAAATAGAACTTGCCCCATGCTAGCTGGAATATCTATATAGACATTTTGGATTTTTTTTCAAGTCTGTTTGCTTTCATCTCAGATAAAGGTTACTACTTCTGCTTTCCCTTTTATTGAGTTGCTGAAGTAATTCTAGGTCTTCCTGTCCTCTTTCACCCTTCTCTCTTTCTACCCTTCACCCACCCCACTTCTTTACAGCATTCTCTCTTGACAGTCTGTCGGGCTAAGAAACCTTAATTCAGAAACAAAACCCTCTTCACTGAGCTGGTAAATTGCATTTTGCTCATCTTCACAAAGATTTATAATATAATTTGCTGTATAGTACCTCCGTTGGAAGGCTGATAGCTGTTTGCACAGATTTCTCCAGCCTCCTCTGTAGTGAGACTAATTTGTGCCAGAGCTTAGCATTAGTGACTAAAGTAAATGAAGCCTTAGGTCACATGAATTATACCTTAACCTTTGTTTTTATCTATGGAAATGTAACTGGTAGGTAAGGAGGTGTAAGTAAAACTTCAACTACAGGATATTCTGTAAGAAAAGATAAGAAAACAGACAAAAAGGTTGCCTGGAGGCTGTGGGAGCAAATCAAAAGAGAAGACCCCAGACTCTGTGAACAGAATTGGATGAGCACAAGTGCCATTAGGAAATCGAGCTACCTATAAAGACTAAAATCCAGTAACAATCGACAGGCAGGGTACCTCTTCAGAGGCACCCAGCTCAAGTTGTAACTGATATGGCATATTAAATATAGTAGAAAGAGGAACTCTGTCTGATTCTTTTATTAAAGTGGAACCTAGGAGCGAGCCCTGGTGAGGTGGCATCTATGTAATTCCTGCCACAGTCTAGGTGGCAACTGTATAATTCCTACAATACCTCTCAGCATCCAAGCTGTAGCCCCAGCTGCAACTTCTTTGTTGACTATAACTAATAACAGTGATAATGATAAATGTACTCCAAATGATCAAGCAACTGACCTGGAGAGGAGACAGACCTCTCCAATGGTAAAGATTTCTCACTTAATCAGTATGGAAATGGCTGAAGATGGAATCCAGTGAAGAAACTAATTCACGTAAGAAAGATCTAAAGAGCAACAGTTCTCACCTTTCTCAAGTCCCATTAAAACCTGTGTGTGTGTGCACGTGCATGCACAAGTGAACAGAAATCCAAAAATCCGAGAACATTATCAGGAGCAGAAAGAAACCAACTGTACCTGTCTTTGTTAAGACACATAAGGTTAGTGCAAGAGATACAAAGAAACAAAGTATTTATTGTTAAAAGCTTTTCTACGAATCACTCAGCATCATACAATGAAGATATGGTGACTACAGAGTAAAGGGAGTCTCTCTCTTTCTCCCCCACCCCGTTTATACACGTATGTGCTCACTCTCACAAACCCACAGTTGTGGTTCTTTTAATGGAATTCCTTTCTTCAATGAGATGGGAAACGGTGTTTATCATACAGGATCTGGCAGAACAGATACATCCTATTAAACATCAGAGCAGTTACAGAAAGGAGACCTCTTTCTTCAGGAAAAAAGAGCTTTCTTTTCCCCCTCATGTCTTTGCACTGCCATAAAAGGGTTCTCAACACAAAAAAAAAAAGCCAAAAAAACTCCAAAACTATGGCAAAATTAGGAGCCCTAGGATATGCGCCAATATTGATATATGCACTAATATTTTCACACAGGATAAATTCTAAACAATGTGGTGTAAAAAAACCTGCCAGCTGAAACAATGTCTGCACTACAGCTACCAACCCTGCTAAGTCGAACAACTGCATCCCTGTTGACAACAGCGGAAAATGTTTTGACAATGTGTCTCAAAGTTACTTGCAGAACATTTGGTTCTGTTCTGCATGCCCATTTCCCAGGCTACATACAAGCTGAGACCGGCTCTCTCCAACACAATCTCTACATGTATACATACATACATGCACACAAAATATACGGACTCATATGGACTGTACTATTTCCAACAGTAGTCTGCATATTATCCTGTGCTATCTCTTACTGGCACTTCAGTGGCACTCTGCTCCATCTTTTTATTTCCTTTTCCACTGCTGTGTTCTTCTCTCTATTCCATAATCAAGCATTTGTTTTCCCTTTAATTTCTAAGAAACACTTGGTCTGAATCCTGACTCATGGCCAACAGCACAAAGGACTAAAAAGAGAGTTTCAAACCTGCCATGTCAACACTTCAGCTGCAAGATGTATTTCCCTTCTATTGGTACTCCAGAATTTTGTTTTAACCCTTTCCTAGTTTGATGCTATATTTTCTAACACTCTGTATCATCTATACATTAACAACTTCTATGCACAGAATTTTTTTTTCCAGTATGCACAGATTTGTATTGTACTGTGGCAGCAATTGAAGATGCCAAAACATCTTCTTATAATCTTTTATACACACAAAAAGACATCCATCCTGAATTTAAAATCAATTTATCATTCACAGTCTGCCACAATTACATGCCTGTTCGGTAGTACTGTCTTTCATTTTAATATGCCCAATCAGCATTTGGTCCAGTTCCTCCCAGTATTGCTCCATTATTTCTCTTCAAATATCATTTCTCTTTTTTGCAAACAAGCAAGCTCCTGGCTGCACTCCTGGAACACAGCACAAAATTTCTCTCTGTGTCTCTTCAGTAAAAGGCCTGGACTGCTTCTGAACACAGAAAAAAAGCATCACAATCTCAAACATCAGTTTAACCAAAGGAAAGACACCTGACAGCTCCTCCTAAGACTCACTGTTCATGACCAGTCTTTTTATGTACAGTACAAATATGGAAAGTGCAATATAAGAATTTAGATTTTTGGATTGCCATCTTCAATGCCATGTATAGTGGCCGACTCATGCATGCACACACACACTTTTTAGTATAGCACTGGTGCTTAACATAGATTCATCTTCCAGTGATGCTGTTATGAACACTGGGCAGCAACACCACATTAGTTTCATTAATTTTCTCTGAAAGAGACTTGGAAACAGATCCATCCAATTAATTCTACAGAGAGATTCTAAAGCAGGCTGGACTTCATTATGTTGCCAGCTATGGCACATGACTGAAATTTCTCTGTACAAATATTTGCCACTTCAATGGGTAAGTGTTCTTTCTCTGCATTTCTTATTCCTGGAGACTGAATGCATCCCCTCAATGTAGCTGCTCTGTTTACCACATACAGAAAATTGAGTTTTCTACACTGGACAGCATGCACACAACTGACACAGCAGCATAATAAATATGGAAGCACAGTAGCAGATGACCCCCACTGTTTTCCATCATAATGCTTGCTTGAAGTCAAATTAGTGGAGTCCTAAAGTAAGTAAGATTTCAAGTCATATACTGTCTGGCAGCCTCACAGCCCCTCACTATACTCAGTTTAAGACTGCAGGACTTCATGCTTTACTGTAAAAAGAGGTTTTGACATTAAAAAAAGTTCCAAACAAAGCCATTCCCAGTAAAAGGCCTCAGGCAAAGAAGTACAGCTATGCCTTTTCTCACACCAATGGTTTTGCAAGACGGTGCTGCCATCACATGACTGCAATCAATCAAATGTAAATTTTCCAAGACATCTCTGAACGCAATGGACAGGGTAAAAGCTATGGCACTGTTAATGTGAAAGCAGAGGTATTAAATAAAGGAGTGGAAGAGAAGACTGTCTCTTCTGTAACTGGACAGAAGAAACTTTTAAGTTCAACTAGGAAAGAAATTGGCAAAGATAGCAGAAGGGAAAAGGACTATACTACAGCAAAATGTGTTATTCAGAATAGCTGCCTCCCTTCCGTACCACATGTGAATTTGATTCTCTTTCCAAGAAAGTGAAAGAAATGAGATGAAAAGGAGGATTTTGAGTGCCACATCATCTGGACAAAGACTTATACTTTGGCAGCTGCCTTTTGGACTAGAAATCATGTTGGGCCATTAATTACAAACCAATCTATGCACTACAAAAAATGGGGGGGAGGATTTAATGAAGATGTCCCTGCTTCCAAGTAAATACGGTATAAATTCCCATGGTCTGAATTCATCGTACATTTACAAAGATGATTTCCGCTCTCTGTGCTATTTAAGGCTTATTGATAGTGCTTTATAACTCAACAGCATCCTATATAACTAGTACGTATCATGTATGGAGGAACAAAATAATTCATAGTAAGAGACAGTTCACCTATGATCAAAACGTGAGACCAATCCAGGGACTCTGTTAACATCCTGAAGTGAAAACTGCCACATTATATGAAGTTAAGCTTCTCAGGTTCTGCAACAACTTAACAATTAGGGAAGTTCTTTTAAGTGCTGATCCCTTCTGGCACACAGAGAAACATTTAAGAAATCTCTTATTTTACATATATGCTTATTGTTAATATCTGCTGCGTTCAAGGCAGGTATCAGCAAAGCACCATTAAGTTATTTTCCTTTTCTCATAATGCCTCATTTCTTGCTTCAACCTCAGCTTTGTTAACATCACTGATATTAAGGACGCCTAAGAAGCAACTATCCCAGAGATAATTCTCTTCCTCTCAGTACAGCACATTGATCATACCCATCCAGTGATACATAATTCAGTCTACCTTTCACTGCAGGGGCAAGGGAAAGAAGAAATCTTAAGAGTTTGCAGAAGAGATACCCTGACTATACTTCTTTCTTCCAGAGAGCTCTTCATTCTAGGAATGAAAATCCTCCTAGTTTGTTCTTTCACGTCGTGAGATGGCTTCTTGCATTGCTCCAGATGGAATAAAAACTCTATTCAGGAATATAAAGCATTCCACAGCTATAAGAAAGACTATCTTGTCTAATTCAAGAGAAGTTACTATTTGAGACTCTTAGGTAACACAGGATGAGAAGTGCATTTATTTCTCTAAATCTGTAGTCTCCTATAACAACTATCTCAACCTCCCCCATCAATGCCACCCATGATTCTATGCATAGCCCATTAGGATTTGCTGTGTATAGTGTCTGAACTTTCTGCTAAAACTTAATGATGCACGTTGATGAATAAACCTTTAATCTTCTTTAACACTGATACTTGTATGGCGCTGTCTCTGGCCTGGAATGGTTTGAGACACCCACCATGGGCAAGATTTTCAAGGGTCACTCTAAAGCTGGTGTTCTGACTGGTGTGTTGATGGTACATTCTCATCCAGTCAGGAAGCAGGTCCATGTGTAACAGTGAGCTAAGTAACACTGAAAAGTCCACTGGTTTGGTGGTCATGATGCCAATGGGATCTTGTGAGCAGTACTTATGTGTTGCGCACTCCCAGGGATTGTTCCAGTTCCTGGCGGCGCTGCTGGATCTGAAAGAAAAAGAAAAACTGTACAGTTCAGCAGACTCAATTGCTCAGTGGCAGGAAGATTCGCTTATAAGCCAGCAGTGTGGATAATTCGTCCATACCTTGCAGTAGAAGTATCTGCTCACAGCCTCTTGAGACCATGGCTCGTGATAAAATTCAGCTCTGCGTTCTTCCTCTGGATTTCCAACTACATCGGTCATCACCTATAACAAAAATAAAACCATTTTTCACTATAGCTCTTCTACCATGTAGAGAAACATTCAGACTTACCTAAAGTCAAAATTTATCTATGTTACTACACTAAAAATGTTCAGGACTGTTCTCTAAGCCCAAGGGAAATGGACAATGAAGGGCATTTGTGCTTACTACCAAAACAAGATGGCCACATACATACTAGGAACTGTGAACAGCTCTTAACCTCTGCTCCTCAGCTGCGCCAAGGAATAAGTCTAGACACCAGTAGCTGCCCAGGCTAAGTGCCACAATCTCTAACAATTTAACAGCATGGACAGTTTAGTTCCAGTGCCCAGGAAAAGTTCCCTGGCGCTGTATATTTTATTAGCCTATGTAACCACAGAACCTCAGTAGTTACCCGTACACAGGGTAACAGCTTGAAATTGTTAAGGTATTCACATCAGATTGAAGAACAACTCTATACCAGTGTTGCCCTTATCTCAAAGCATATCTTACCTTGATTTCAAGGAAAGTTCTGATGCAAAAGCATTGAGGAAAAATAACTCTATTGAAATGTGAGGAACAGAAAACCCTAGTAATTCCAAAAGGGCCAAAGTCCCGAGCTGATTTTTCAGTCTCTACGCAACTGCCAAGAAAGCAAATTTGAAAAACCATACGTTGTTTAAGGGATTAGTGGATGGGACTACCTGGAAAACTGCCTTTAGGGACAAAGGACATCTTAGGGTGAAAGAGCTCTAGATTCCCATGTGTAAGGAACTGAGCAAGGAAGGCAGGAGACTGGCATGGCTCAGTAAGGACCTCCTGGTCAAACTAAAGTGTAAGAAGGAAATGCATAGGCAGTGGAACCAGGGAAGAATATAAGGATGCTGCCTGGATGTGTAGGGAGGGGCTCAGGAAAGCTAAGGCACAGTTGAAGCTGAATTTTTCAAGGGATGACAAGGATAACAAGAAGGGCTTTTACAGGTACATTGGCCAGAAAAAGAAGATTAAAGAAAATGTACCCCTCCCTGGTAAGACAGGAGAGTTGGTGACAACCAATATGGAGAAGGCTAAATTAATCAACAATTGTTTTTGCCTCAGTTTTCAGTTGTACTCTCTCTTCCCACATATCTCAAGCCCCTGAACCTCAAGGGGGAAAGAAGTCCCTCCCATTGTAGGAGAAGATCAGGTCTGAGACCATCTGAGGAACCTGAACATACACAAGTCCACAGGACCTGATGAAATGCATGCCAGGGTCCTGAGGGAATTGGCTGATAAAGTAACTAAGCCATTCTCCCACATATTTGAAAAGTCCTGGCAGTCAGGTAAAGTCCCCAGTGACTGGAAAAAGGGAAACATCACACCCCTTTTTAAAAAGGGTAAAAAGGTGTATCCTGGGAACTACTGACCAGTCAGTCTCAACTCTGTGCCTGGTAAGATTATGAAGCAGATCCTCCTGGAAGACATGTCAGAACAGATGGAAGGCAGGGAGGTGATTAGAGACAGACGGCTTCACCAAAGGCAAATTGTGTATGACTAATCTAGTGGCCTTCTACAATGGAGTGACTGCATTGGTGGATAATGGAAGACCAACTGATATCATCTGGGTCAGGGCAATCCTCAGTATCAATACAGACAGAAGCACGAATGGATTGAGAGAATTGCATGAATTGCAGAGAAGGATTTGGGGATATTGGTGGACAAAAAAGTGGATATGAGTCAGCAGTGTGCACTTGCAGCCCAGAAAGCCAATCACATCCTGGTCTGCATCCAAAGCAGCATGGCCAGCAGGTCGAGAGAGGGGATTGTGCCCCCTCTACTGTGCTCTTGTGAGATTCCACCTGGAGCACTGCTTCCAGCTCTGGGGTCCACAGTACAAGACAGACATGGACCTGTTGGAGCAAGTCCAGAGGAGGCTATGAAAATGGTCAGAGGGCTGGAATACCTCTCCGATGAAGAAAAGATGAGATAGTTGGGGTTATTCAGCCTGGAGAAGAGAATGCTCTGGGGAGACCTTCTTGCAGCCGTTCAATATACAAATTGGGCTTGTAAGAAAGAGACACCTTTTACCAAGGCCTGTACTGACAGGACAAAGGGCAATGGTTTTAAACTGAAAGAGGGTAGGTTTACATTAGATATAAGGAAGACTTTTTTTACGATCAGAGTGATGAGACACTGGCACAGGTTGCCCAGAGACATTGTGGATGCCCCATCCCTGGAAGTATTCAAGGTCAGGTCGGATGGGTCTTTGAGCAACCAGATCTAGTGAATGTCCCACAGCCCCCACGGCAAGGGAGTTGGACTAGATGATCTTTGAAGGTCCTTGCCAACCCAAACCATTCTATGATTCTATAAAAAAAAAATAATTCTGATGACTAAGTCTCCAGCATCACAGAACCAAGGGTAAGTACAAAATTATTAGCATCTTTTGCAAGGTAGTATTGTGCAATCACAATTCTGATGCCAACAGGGCAGAACATTATAGAAAAAGCCCTTATGGTACTGGCTGTCAGTCAGGGAGAACACTGAACAACTGTTCTATGTATGCAGCTAGAGAAGCTCCACAACACCTTGGTTTGTAAGCTCTTCAAGCTAAAAGCTGCTTTATTTAAACATTCTTTCAGATGTCTGTCCCCTTTTGAATACAATATAAATAATAATAATCATAATCTTAACAGCAGATTTTTGGAAGACTATTGACTAACAAACTGGACATCAATATTTGAAAGACACAATGATTTTATTAAAATAATTTCATGGATTCATTAATACAACTGGTTTTGAGACATGTGAGTTAAAGACACAAAGTGTGAAACTTTATGAGGAACAAATTATTCATTTTTGCTGGCAAACAACTGAACTTCTTTACATTCCACTTCTGGGGTATCTCAAAGCTAAGCTCAAAGGCAGCTGATATTTAAACTGCCTATTTCTTAATTAAGATTAAACTATGAACTAACAAAACACTCAAATTGTGTTATTGTACTATAGGATGCTCCTCATGAGTTTTATATAGGTTTAATTTTGCAGAGTACACCAACACAGCCCTGCACTTTGATCTTACTGTCCAACCTGTTCCACTGGAAGTGGAATACAGCCTAAATTGTCTTTCCTGCATACTGTCTGCTTTGGGATTGCAGTATTCCACTCATTGTCTGTCTTCCACCAATTTTCCACCCTAGATGTTTTAGCTATATACTTTTAGATATAATTCTTACATTCTAGTTCCACTATTCATTCTTCATCAAACCTTAGCTCACCTTAAGATCCCTACTTTGGGACCGGAGAAGGTCTTGGATGTATCCTTTGGGATCTTTGGAGAAACTCAGCATGAAATCACGTTGTATTTTTAACTGATTTATGGATTCGATTGTCTCATGGATCTGACAGAAAAAACAAAGCAAATGTTACTTAATTCCTCCTATGCTTCGGTGACCCTGAGATCAGCCGCATTAGTGTCTTTGTATTTCTTGTGATGTACAAAGGTGACAATTCTACACTGCACACTTGTGCAGGTTCCCATAGCTTCTTCCCTTCAAAGAGGGAGTTAACTGCAATCCTGCAATTACATTTTGGTTTCACTTGTACTTTGCAATACAAGTATGTACAGGATTCTTCTTTACGTCCTGCGTTGAACTGCTGGATGGCATGCTATATACAATACTAAAGCGCCAAGTCATGTCACTGTACAATGCAATAATTTCTGTGTATAATCAGTCTTTCTGCCAAGTCTAGGATTTTTCAGGAAAGATGCTATATAAACATGTCTTTAAGCAGTGCCCAATGCAAGGAAGCAGTTATTCCCCTGGTTAATCATCATATCTTCAATACCCTGCTGTGATCCTTAACATTTCCAGTGATTGCCTGAAAATCCATGTTAAATGAACTCACACAACAGCCGTGACTTCTAGACCTTTTCTTACGAGAAAGCCTATTAAAGTCACAATGGCTGCAAAAAGAAGAGGAGTGTGAACAATGAGAAATCGGGAGTATGCAAGGTTTATAGATAATGAGTCATATCTTCAGAAATATTATGAAAGAAATGGGCATTAAGCAGCAGAGAAGAATGAAGACTCCAAAAAAAAGTCAAGGTCCTATGATCTTCCTGGATAACAAAAATCAAGTATGATCAATGGGAGGACATTTAATGAATCATTCGCACATACACACACAGAAAAGCAAACTTTAATACCCCGTTCCTCCAAAATTCTAGTTTGAGATTGTAAAACTATCTTGTTTAATTTCATGCATACATCTATGTTGCCAAAACAGGTAATGTGGCCAGGCACATGGGAGAGAATAATCCTCCCCTGATCTGGCTGTGCCATTAAGGCCACTAGCATAGGCACAAATACATGGTATATTAACAGAAGAGAGCTGCGGTCAACTTAAAATCTTTCCTTATTTGGGAAAATGATGTAGCCATGCTGGAGAGAAATCTGTTGGCATGCACCGAGTTTCCACTAGAGGACTCTCTGGCAGCACAGCAACAAATGGTACAGACGGTAACAATGCCGCAGTCAATGGCTGTTTACCCAGAAGTTACTTCAGTAACTTCACTAATCACAGCTTGCCCTCTGCTGTAGCAAATGCTCAAAAAAGAGGCGATACAGACATGGGAAAAGGTGAGCTGGACTGGAAACAGAGTAATCCTATGCATGCTGCATGCAAAACCTATATAGACTGGGAACCAACCGGCTGAGCGGCTGCCCTGCTGGAAAGGACCTTTCTCAAGGGCCATAAAATGAAAGCTGCTGCAACAATTACCAGAATCCATAGGATTGCTAGTGTCCAAACCCCCTTTAAAATCATGTGAAGACCAGAGTTTAACATATTTGTTTGTATTAGAGGTAAACAAACAGAAACAGGGCTTGACTGTATATCACACAAATAATTGCTGGTCCACGACGTTACAGTACCTTGTTGTCCAATGCTGTAATCTCCTGTTGGTTAGCTGTGGAGAGAAGAAAACTACTCATTTGTCCTTTTAATGGGTCTTCAACTTCTACATCTATGTCATAACAAGCCGTCTTCTTCTGATCGTTGGGGTCAACACTATGGACAGTATAACAGAAGATCATGGGAACATAATGAGTCAGAACAAATATCCATCCAGCCCAGGACACACTCTTTGATAAAGCCTGATGCTGTGAAAAGAGTTTAAGAACAGGGTATCTTTATATATTTGTATATCTTAGTATATCCTCTCACCTTTTATCAGTCAGAATTCAGAGACTTTTGAGCTGGAGCTTTTGTCCAGACCATCAATTTTAATAGCTACTAATGGACACAGTCTTCATTAAATTGTCTAACATCTTCCTGAGACCCATTATAACTCTGGCTTCCAAAGCAATCCCCAGTGGTAAATACCATACTGGTATGGTCTCTGCTAGACTGCATCTTTTACCTACCCTATCTCATCTACCCATGAGATAGGGTAGGTAAAACTCCATGCTACCATTCTGGATGTGAGCACATGATGACATTTTATTTGGTTCTCGGTTCCTTCTCTAATAATTCCTAGCACTGTAATTGTTTCGGCAGCTATGCAGCATTGTAATGATTCCCAGCTACTTCTTCAAGAGGTAGCAGTGAATTTGGGGACCGCCACTTTCTTTGTAAAGTTGCCTGCTTAATTCTTCAAAGAATAGAGCCAGTCATGCCTTCCTGTTACAGAAGTTATATTGACTCTTCCCCAATATATCACATGTCTATTAACTCCATTCTTTACTACAGTTAGTACCAATTGGCTTCCAATGTCCAGGATTGGTCCTGGATATGTTTTTGGCATCGTGATAACTATTTACCACCCCTCCGGTACTGAAGGAGATTTCAGGTAACGCATTGTATAGAATCATAGAATCATTCAGGCTGGAAAAGATAAACCACTTTAAACCTCAACCACTTCCTTGGACAGCCTGTTCCAATGCTTGACAACCCTTTCGGTGAAGGAATTTTTTTCTAATATCCAATCTAAACCTCCCCTGTTGCAAGTTAAGGCTGTTTCCTCTCAATCTATCACCTATTACTTGGGAAAAGTGACCGACACCCACCTTGCTACAACCTCCTTTCAGGTAGTTCTAGAGAGCAATGAGGTCTCCCGTCAGCCTCCTCTTCTCCAGACTGAACACGCCCAGTTCCCTCAGCCGCTCCTCATCAGACTTGTCCTACAGACCCCTCAACAGCTCCGTTGCCCTTCTCTGGACATGCTCCAGCACCTCAACATCCTTCTTGTAGTGAGGGGCCCAACACTGAACACAGGATTCGAGGTACAGCCTCACCGGGGCTGAGTAAATTAGCTTGGAGTTGGTAGTTAAGCAATTTCATGAGAGTCCTGCATGAAAAACCATTTACAACTCCTCATTTAGTCTGTGCTAAATTTACTTCTATTTTATACCTTGGTGTGAAAAAGTTTTTCAGATACACTTTTTCCATCTGCCCTCCAAAGCCCATACTGCACAGGTATGGGACCTTTCCTAATCTCAAAAGTTAATATTGATTACAAGAATGAATTTTGATTTTCTTACCTGACTTTAAGCAGCTGATTGTCTTCCAAGAACAGTTTTTTTAAACCTTATTTTTAATATCTCCAACATGGGAGATATTTAAACCTTATTAATTTCTCAGTTTCAATAGTAGGTTTCCTACTTCAAATATATTTCAACCAATCTTAGCATTTTCTTTTTCATCTTTAACAAGCTAAATATCAGTATTATTATTTGGCTTGTCCTATCATAAATTTATGTTTAATTTATTGAGGTTTAGACTTAACATTTACTTTCTCTTTATCTTTAGGCTAAAGTTTCTTAGCAAGAAAACAGTTTTTCAGCCCAGTAGTTGGTAAATCAGACTTCAGACATTGTCACTTGTAATATAAAAATGCTGGCTTCTCAACGTTGTTTTTGAAATGTCGAGGTTGTGCGCATCTGCTGTAGGTAGTTAAAAAAAAGGCTCAGGATCTAATCAAGCTTGTTAGACTTGGAGAGCAGAAGAACTTCCATGGATGGATTTGCATTAGGAGTGTTGCAAGCAGGCGGAGAGAAGTGATCCTTCTCTATACACACCCCTGGAGAGGTCACACCTGGAGCACTGTGTTCAGTGCTGGGCTTCTCAGTATAGGAGAGATACGGAGCTACTGGAGGGAGTTCCATGAAGATGATTAAGGCATTGAAGCACCTCACACATGAGGAAAGGCTGAGAGATCTGGGATTGTTCAGCCTAGAGAACAGAAGGCTTGGGGGTCAGGAAGATGGAACTTATCAATACCTGAAGGAAGGGTTTAAAGAAAAGGGAGCCAGGATCTTTTCAGTGGTACCCAGTGACAGGACAAGGGGCAATGGGTGCAAACTGAAACGCAGGAAGCTCCATCTGAACACCACGAAACACTTTTTTACTCTAAGGGTGACTAAGCACTGGTACAGGTTTCTCACAGAGGTTGTGGAGTCCCCCATGTTGGAGATATTCAAAAGCCATCTGGACATGTTCCTGGCCAACCGGCTACAGGTGGCTCTGCTTGAGCAGGGGAGGGCATTGGACCAGATGATCTGCAGACGTCACTTCCAACCTCAACCATTCTGAGATTCTGTGATACTGTGGCCTTCTGCAAGTGGATCAGCAGCAGAAGGAAGACTAAGGAAAACCCAGGTCTGGATCTGGGTCTGCTGCTCATGTCAAAAGCCATGGAGAAGGCTGAGGCACTCAGTGTTGTCTTTGCCTCTGTTTCTCCATTTAAGTCCTGTCCTCATGCCTCCCAGGTCCCCGAGCCTACGTCAGAGTCAGGGGAGCACGGCTGTTCAGAGGTACCTTGACAGGCTGCAGAAAGACACAGCTTGGAACAGGCTGCCCAGGGAGGTGGTTGAGTCACCATCTCTGGAGGTATTTAAAAGATGTGTGGATGCGGCGCTTAGGGACATGGTTTAGTGGTGGACTTGGCACTGGTAGATTAACAGTTGGACTCCATGATCTTACAGGTCTTTTCCAACCTAAATGATTCTATGATTCAACCTTGTAAAGTTCAACAAAGGCAAATACAAAATTCCGCTCCTGGGACAGAACGACTCCATGCAGTGCTACAGGTGGGCATCAACTGGGTAGAAAGCAGTTTTGCAGGAGATGACCTGGGGGTCCTCATGGACAACAAGCAGAGTATGAGTCAGTGAGATAAGCAAGCTAAGACAAAGGTCAGTTGCAAAACAGGCTGTATTAGCATCAAGTTAAGGAAAGAGGCTATTTCTTGCTGGGATAGAGTTAATTATCTTCATAGCAGCTAGTATGGGGCTGTGTTTTGGATTTGTGCTGGAAACAGTCTTCATAACACAGGGATGTTTTAGTTACTGCTGAGCAGTGCTTCACTGAGTCGAGGCCTTTTCTGCTCCTCCTACTGCCCCACCAGCGAGTGGGCTGGGGGTGCAGAAGTTGGGAGGGGGCATAGCTGGAACAGCTGACTCCAAGTGACCTCCATACCATATGACATCATGCTCAGCAATAAACTAGGTGGGGGGGCACCGCTCAGGGACTTGCTGGGCATCAGCTGGTTGGTGGTAAGCAATTGTTTTCATTTGCATCACTTGTCATTCTTGGGTTTTATTTCTCTTTGCTATTTTCCTTTTCATTACATCATCATCATCATTATTATTACTATTGGTTTATTTCCATTATTAAACTGTCTTTATCTCAACCCGTGAGTTTTCTCACTTTTACCCTTCTGATTCTCTTCCTCCATCCTGCTGGGGGGAATGAGCAAGTAGCTGTGTGGGGATTAGTTGTCGGCTGGGCTTAAACAATGACAAGCAGTTGGCAAATTGTTTCAGTGGTTGATTACATTTAGTCTTAAGTGTTGAATGCAGGGAGGCAGGGCAGAGTCTGTTTAAAGCTCAATGGGACTAGGCCCCTAGGCATCCTGATATAGTTTGAACCAGCTTTGAGTTGCGAGGAGGGAGCTATAGATGACCACCAGTGATCCCTTCTACTGTACATTATTCTGTGATTTTATGAGCCTAAAAATTAGTTACTTCCTCTAAATTCAGTGCCAGACTTCCAGATTTATTTTTGCTTTGCTTGAGACTGTAAAGACTCTATTGTGAAAGTATTCCATATTCTCAGGAAATGAATACTTTCCCTTTCCACAGCATTATGCCAGCGCAGTGTAATACTGTCAGGTGCTGTGTGGGGCACACTGTTTCAGAGAGTGCTGCTATACACAAGGTCCTGCTCTTAGCTTGTATCTAACAGAAAACATGCTGCCTCCAGAACCTCTTTGCCACCTCTCTGCTCCAGAAACATAACCATCAGTTCCTTGTCATTTTTCTCCAAGACAATGACTATATATCTCTGAGGACCCCAGCTTTTTCTGGTCCATCAAACAGTCACTGAGTTGTCTTCAGTGACAGTGTATACACAGCTATCGGTCTGCATGGTAGTCAATCTGCTTTTTGATGACTCTGGTTTATATATTCAAATGAATCAAAAAGCATATTTTATCTTAATAGCCTATGTAATATTTAAACTTATCACATATATTACAAATTTAGAATAAAGAACTCAATTTTAAGCATATTCAGAAATATTTGTTGTCAATATTTTCTAAGAAATCAAATCACTATGTTCAATTAACAATAATGTTTAAACACCCAGAATCAGATCTTTGCCCAAGACCACAAAAGAACTTGGGAAAGACTGAAATATCTTAGCAGCAAGGTTGTAATCCCTAAAAGTCTCTTTATCCCCCTCCCCCTACACACAGTTGTCATTTAAATATGGAATGTGCTGGAAGTGCCCTAGATAGCTGAAAGTTTTATTTCATCTACTATGCCAGAAATACATCTTTTTTGACAAGGATGCCAGAAGCTCAGTACCTTGGTCACAATGACCTTCTCTGAATCTAGGCATTCTTGATTGTCAGTCTCTTGAGATTTCTGACTAGTTGGCATTCTTGGAACAAGACTAACACCCAAACAGCTGACTCAATCCCAACAAAGTATGCAGGGACTTGCCACTGTATTTGAAACTGTAATACTCTTGTACATTTTACATAGTAACTCAGTGATTAGAATGGTTGCCCATGATGCACAATATCTTGTTTCAATTCCATTTTTTCCTCTCTAAGTGGATTCAAACTCTCATTCCTCTCCCCTTAGGAAAGAAACCTGACCAAGTCTCTCAATGGTATTCCAGTAGGGATAAGAACAAGAATAGTCCTAGAGAATTGGTGCCATTCTATTGAAAATAATTCAGAATTTTGTAGGCCAGAATGACACAGAGAATGAACACACAATAAAGTCCAAGGTACTCACCTGGAAATTATAAAGACTGGATTCTGGTCCCTGATACTGTAGCTGTTTCTGTATTTTATGTAGTGAGTGTTTTGCACATGACAGTGCTGAGCTGACTGACCAGCTTACCTGATGATATGGTTTATCACTATAGGGTCTGGTGGCAGCAGCAGGTTAGTGAGTCTCTGAGGTATTTCAGAAAACTTTAGTCGTGGACAGTCAAAGATCTGGAATACAACAAAGCACGTTATCTTTGTCCAAAACCAAACTTGCAATTAAATGAGAAAGTAAGAAATCAAGAGTTCAAAAGTAAGGTGATTTTGAATGCTATAATTATGGCTCCTTGTACAGAATAAAATTTTGGTCACTTCTGTCCCTGCAAATTGCTGCTGTACTGACAATCTGGGCTAGCTGACAGACACATCTGATGACAACAATTTCAGGTGTCCTACTTTTGGTTTAGCTGCGGAAGGGCAAAGGCCACTTTAATGGGACATCAGAATCAACTGTATCAGTGATGGGACAGAAGTAAACACTTCCTCTCTCACTAAGCGTTTGCAACATATCATAAAGAAAACAATTTGGTTTGTTACCAGCGGAAATATAAAAATGGTTTGCTTCTTTTCCCCCAAAGCGTGTTTTCTGCAATATTTTGTGCTAAAGAAAAATACAAGAAAACATTTTTGCATTTTAAAACCATTTGCAATTTATTTTTCTTTTAAGATTAAGGACAAAAAAGGCAACATGGTTTTACTTATTTTTAACTAGAACCTAAACAGCCTCCTGGAATGGATCCATTCCTTTCGAATCAACATCTCATGGTTACCTTTTCTTTACTATGGTCCAGAAGCTAAATATGTATTGAATTCAGAAAAAAAACTATTTTGGAAAGGATCAAAATCTGTAGGTTTAGGAAATTTTCTGTGAGTAATTGCAGTGTGTTGCCATGAATCCAGAACCACTTTTTACACCCAGAGTTTTCAGAAATGTAATTATTAGAGCTTTTTTTCCCTACTGTGATTTTTTAATGCTCTGAACAGGTGAACAGGCTTTTCTCTAAAGATATTCCATTAAACTGACTTTTTAAACCCCCAAAATATCTATATATTAACATTTGCCTTAAAACATGCCATTATGTGGAAGCAATTTGTAAAAATGTTGAGGCCTATGCAAATGCCTCTTAGGGAAACTATTTCCACTTGATAGAAGAGAGATATTATCTATAAACAGAAACATGCTTTGCAGCTCTAGAGGTTGCAGGTAGGGTTGAGAAAAATGAACTATCAGGTGGCAGAATGGACATACAAAGTCAGAACTGTTCAGCTAGGATGCTGTGGTTCCTCAGAGTATCTTCTGAAATCCATTAATTTTCTGGAGTGAGGGAATTTGGTAGCAGAAGTACCTAGAAGCCAGTTCCGGCTTTTGAAATACCTTTGTACATTGTTTTCTTGCTTTTGCTTGTAACACAGTGGATTTCATATATTCCCAGCTGATGTAAACAGTGTTTCTAAACAGAAAAGGATCCTTCTTCATCAACTCTAAAAATCCGTCTCATTTGCTGGTCTTACCTGCATCCAGGAATGCAGCCAGCTAGTTTCTAAAGAGCAAGGAAGTAACCAAATCTACTGAGTCTGCAACTCTCTCTATTTCAGTTCTGAATTCTGACACTTCTGACTGTGGAATTCCCACTCAAAATCTTTGCATACCAAACTCCATCCAATCTGCTGTCACCACTGGCTCAACACTCATGTCAAACTCGTAATGTGAATGCCCAAGAGACGAGAGTTTTAAGAAGGGAAAATGAAGCGAGCACACAAATAGTGAGAGAAAGGGTCAGAGACTGGAAACTAAGGCTAGATGGAATTTTCCTAAAGCATCTCATATTCCTACTTAACTCAAGTTAATGGTCTAAACTTATAACCTTGGCTCTGAAAGGCTATACGGCCATAGTAATTCTGGTGTGTGAGGTAACTCATTCAGTGATGATTTTTTAGTCTGTACTGTATTGTGTCATTAGATATAACCACAAGCACACCAGCGTAGGAGTTAGAAAAGCTGCCATACCAAATGAGAAGACCGGTATGTAAAAGGGAATGCTAGAGACACCGATGTGTTAGGTACTGATCCCCTAAGTGATCTGCACACTTCCAGTTATGACCATGATTTTTTCCAGGAGCTGCATGCCTAAAACTATAGTGTCTACATAAATATCATCAGATGGGAAGGCATTCCGAACCCAAATCCTTTATCCTCGATATCTCAATATTAGAGCATTAGGGTGAAAACCAAATAAATCTCATCATTAAATGTTTCATTTGATGTAATGGAATTCACTTTCCTAAGTACTAACATCAGTTTTGAAAGCAAGATTAGCTACTTAGGACAAAAAGTGAGAAGGCCCTCCTGCTTACGATAAGTAAGAGATGAACTGCTGACTGGACCAGATATTTCAAAAGTCCCGGCAGTCAGGGGAAGACCCTGGCAACTGAAAAAGGGAGACATTGCACACCTTTTTAAACAGGGCAGTAAGGAGGACCCTGGGAACTACCGACCTGTCAGCCTCACCTCTGTGCCTGGGAAGATCATGGAGCAGATCCTCCTAGAAGCTATGCTAAGGCACATGGAGGGCAGGGAGGTGATTTGAGACAGCCAGCATGGCTTCAAGGGCAAGTTCTGCCTGACCAACCGAGTGGCCTTCTAGGATGGAGTGACCACATCAGTGGACAAGGGAAGAGCTACTGATGTCATCTATCTGGACTTCTGTAAGGCTTTTGACACGGTGCCCCACAACATCCTTCTCTCTAAATTGGAGAGATATGGATTTGATGGGTGGACTGTTGGGTCAATGAGGAATTGGTTGGATGGTTGCATCCAGAGGGTAGTGGTCAACAGCTCAATGTCCAGATGAAGATCGGTGACAAGCAATGTCCCTCAGGGGTCCATACTGGGACCAGTACTGTTTAATATCTTCAGCAATGACATAGACAGGGGGATCGAGGGCACGCTCAGCAAGTTTGCAGATGACACCAAGCTGAGTGGTGAGGTTGACATGCCTGAGGGATGGCATGCCATCCAGAAGGACATGGACAAGCTCAAGGAATGGGCCTGTGTGAACCTCATGAGGTTCAACAAGGCCAAGTGCAGGGTCCTGCAGCTGGGTCAGGGCAACCCTCAATGTCAGTACAGGCTGGGGATGAAGGGATGGAGAGCAAGCCTGCAGAGAAGGACTTGGGGGCACTGGGGGATGAAAAGCTGGACATGAGCCGGCAATGTGCGCTCGCAGCCCAGAAGGCCAACTGTATCCTGGGCTGCACCCAAAGCAGCGTGGCCAGCAGGGCAAGGAAGGGGATTCTGCTTCTTTGCTCCGCTTTGGGGAGACCCCCCTGCAGTGCTGCATCCAGCTCTGGAGCCCTCGGCACAGGAGAGACCTGGACCTGTTGGAGAGGGTCCAGAGGAGGCCACAGCAATGCTCAGAGGGCTAGAACAGCTCTGCTGGGAGGACAGGCTGGGAGAGCTGGGGGTGTTTAGCCTGGAGAAGAGAAGGCTCTGGGGAGACCTTACTGCAGCCTGCCAGGACTTGAAGGAAGCTTAGAAGAAAGATGGGGACAGACTTTTTAGCAGGGTCTGTAGTGATAGGACAAGGGGTAATGGTTTTAAACTAAAAGAGGGGAGATCTAGACTAGATCAAAGGAAGAAATGTTTCACCATGAGGGTGGGAAAACCCTGGCCCAGGCTTCCCAGAGAAGTGGTAGATGCCCCATCCAGATGCCCTGGAAACATCCCAAGTCAGGTTGGACAGGGCTCTGAGCAACCTGATCTAGTTGAAGATGTCCCTGCTCATGGCAGGGGAGTTGGGCTAGATGGCCTTGAAAGGCCCCTTCCCACCCAAACCATTCTATGATGAGACAAAGGATCTACTACACATCTACTACACTATCCTGCCCTTGATAATGGCTAAAAATGGATACTAAAGGAAAAGTGTAAGAACAGAAGAAACATATACTGGTCCTTCCCCAAAGTACTCTCCCAGTCTCCACAGCTTTGCAATTACCTTGCATTTATAACAGCCCAAGATTTTTTTTCCATTGGTTTGTCACTTTGGAGCCTATATACACTTTTAGCATTTTTAATGTCCTATTGCAAGGACATTATTCTGAAGTTTAACTATGCTCAATTCCTTTTGTTTGTTTTTAATTTGCTACCTGCCAGCTTCAGTTGATGGCCTCTTATTATTTACCAAAATAAACAATAATTACTCCTTGTTCACCTTTTCCATTCTGCTCATGATTTTTCAACCTCCCCCTTTCCATTTCCTCTTTGGGCTGGCACATGCAAAACGAAGTCTAAATTGGCTATAGATAAATAGAGAATGGAAATCAAATCATCTAAGCAACAGAGCAAATAGCTTTAATTTTGCAAAAAATTCTTTTGTAGTTTTAAGGTTGCATTTTCACTATATATGAAAAAGACTGCATGTTGTCATTCTCAAAAAAAACCAAAAACCCAAACAAGAGAGTGACTATATAATTCAGATCACTTTGGTTCTATATTCCTCAAAATACCCATGAATGTCACAATTATTTTGTTGTATTCTCTATTTTCAAATGTGGGAAAACCCAGTGCTGCCTTTAAGTTTATTTCAAGCATTGGTCACTTTAAACTGTTGTAGGGCAAATTAATAACAAAAAATAAAAGCTTAAAAAGAAAACTAGGACACAACTTTCACTGCAACATTTACTTTCAATGCTCACTAAAACATTACTGATTTATTATAACTGCCAGTACTTCCCCTAAACAGGAATGTGTCACAAACCCTACCTTCAGGTACTTTAAAAATAAATTAGGTAAGCCTGAAGCTACAGAAAAACAAAGCCAATTAAGATAGTTGTAGCTCAGATAACATTACCTTTACAAAATAAATAGAATCATATTTACAGAAAAGGTGGAGATGCTTTTAAGTGTCCTTCTTAGTTCATTCCAGAGGTCATTGTGAAAGACAAAAAGCCTTTACATGCTACTTTCAAAACAATATGCAGATCATTGAGGGTATTTTATAATCTGAAGCAGACTTAGGAAAAAATAGTTTTTCTAATTATATCTTCCATGTCTTCTGCCCTTCATAAACA